GCCATCGCTATTAGGTTGGAGGCCATTGCTCTAGGTCGGAGGCCATCACTATTGGGTTGTATGCCATCGCTGTTGGGTTGGAGGCCATCGCAATTAGGTTGGAGGCGATTTCTCTTGGGTTGGGTGCCATCGCTACTGGGTTGGAAGTCAGCGGTACTGTCTGCAACACATCGTATCACAGCCCATCTCCTTTGTGAGGCCGCTGAGGATGGTTGATCTGGGTTCGTGCAATGGATATTTTGCGCTGAAGGCTGCATACAGGCATTGCAAAATGCACTGTGCAAGAGATGGGCAAAGTGTTGTGAAGCATGACATGTTTGAACACTGGTTGCGCTCTCAGTGCTAAGCGGTGTTCTTTGCAGGCATCCAGAAGCAGACATAGTGGCCGTTGAAGGCTTGGGCTTTGACTGGGCATTGCAAGCGGTAGAACGATGTATCAAACCCCGTGAGCCTTGTGAGGTGTGAAAGCTGTGAAACTCTGACAGGTTCAGGTGCCAATGCAAGGTTCCAGCGGAGACCCTTTTTCACCAAGAAGTCGAACGGAGGATAGAGGTCCTGAGTTGTCTTGGGTGGCTACCCTGTAGCTGAGCGTGCGCAGTGTCCACGGCGCTCGCTCGCCGGTTCCCGGACATGTTGCTTCAAGCGAAATCTCCAGAGGGACAACTGAATGGGGGACCACTTGATGCAATGCCTGCAGGTTCGGTTGGAATTGGAAATGGGACAGCTGGGTTGCAGGGCACAGTGGGGCAAATCTTGAGGACAGAAGCTGCCAGGCTGAAGAAGGGATGCTGATTCTTCATTTGTTTGAAGTTGATGTTGAAGCCAAGACATTCTTGTGAAGAAGACTTTACAGTGGGGTTCTCAAGACGATTTGCACGACTTCTTCAAGGGCTTCTTGCAGAGTTGAGGCTGTGCAGACTCATCTTCGCTGGATTCAAAAGCTGAGACTTACAAACTGCTTTGTCGCCCCGGAGGCCGCGTAACTTGGGCAATCGCTCCGATCGGTTTGAACCGTTTGAACCTGTGAAGGCAAGTTTTTTTTTGCTTTGAAGTTAAGCTTCCCTTAATCTTAAAATATAGAAACCACATCATTAGTGCGAGTGTGAGCTATCCTGCGTCCATATGTAGTAGCTTAATGAGCTAGGAGCGAACATCTCCCTTACTTAATTAAGTAGGCGCCTACTTAATTAAGTAGGAGTGGGCTAAAATGAAAAACAAACAGAAAAAGACGATCAGAGGTTTGGGACTATCAGCACATTTGCAGCTTAGCGTCTTCCGGCAGGTGCGCAGAACGCAGACGCAACACAAATGGGCAAATGGACGAAGAAAAAATCACAACATGCACAAAACATTTGTTTTTAGTAGCAAGTGTATTCCCTTTGCACTTGTTTCGTTTTGTTACTAGCCATGCATTTGTTACTGCTTGCCAGACCGATCTGTGATGCAATGTTTCTACTTTCGGCCTGGACCTGAGAAGACCGGAGAAGCCAATTGGGCGATTTTGGGCCCTTTGCGCCTTCGGTTGGCTTCGAAGAATCCCAGCTCTCTCGCTCTACTAGACTACTGTAGAAGTTACTAGACTACAGGACCTGGCTACTGATGCTACTAGCATAACTAGCATGACTAGCTAGCTATTTGTAGCCCAGTTGACCTCTCCTACGTCCAGAAAAAGAACGCTGATGAAGGCTTCTTGCGCAGACCTGCCCAAGTTGAGGTTGTGCACCACATCGACAATGTCTCGTCCCAACAATATGCCAAAGCTGGACTTTCAAGGCAATGATTGTGGCATTGGAATTCAATGTGATTCAATGTCATTAGAACTGTATCATTTCAATATGTTATCATTTTTTGAATTCTCGTGAAGCCGAGCAGGGTGCAAGGTGGCATTGACCTCATTGCAAAGCTACTGCTCTTGTCTCCCAGGCAGCATGCACAGGGAGTCAATGCATCACCTGCTCAGAACTACGAATATCACCTATATAAGCAGAATGGAGAAACATAAGACACTAGTAACAAGGTGCCTTACTACTAGTAACAAGAAGCTACTAGGGGCTCCTGGCA